TCAATGACGATGATGATGATGATGATGAGGTCACAATGATGAAGTCAATGATGATGATGACGATGATGAAGTCCATGATGCTGATGACGATGATGAAGTCCATGACGCCGACCCGGCGCCGCCGAGGCCGAAGGCCGCACCTGCGTCTTGCGGATGCGCAGGTCGGCCGAGGAGCGGTTCAGGCCCTCCTCCTGCTCGATGCTCTGCTCGATGGCTGCGGCCGGACACGGCGGTCACTCAGCGGTCACTCAGTGCCGTGGTCACTCAGCGGTCACTCAGTGGTCACTCAGTGGTCACTCAGTGGTCACTCAGTGGTCACTCGGGGGGGCAGCGGTCACCTTTCAATTTGGAGCGCACTTTGTTCGCCGTCTTCTTGATGTCGGCCGTGAGGTCCTCGAGCTCCTGCTTGGTCCCTGCAGTGACCGGGAGTGACCACGAGTGACCACCAGTGACCAGGAGTGATAGTCAGTGACCACCAGTGACCAGAAGTGACCACGAGTGACCACGAGTGACCACGAGTGACCACCAGTGACCAGAAGTGACCAGGAGTGACCATGAGTGATGGTGAGTGACCACGAGTGACCAGGAGTGGCCACCAGTGACCACCAGTGACCACGAGTGACCAGGAGTGACCATGAGTGATGGTGAGTGACCACGAGTGACCATGAGTGACCACGAGTGACCATGAGTGATGGTGAGTGACCACCAGTGACCATGAGTGACCACCAGTGACCATGAATGACCACAAGTGACCAGGAGTGGCCACCAGTGACCACCAGTGACCAGGAGTGATGGTGAGTGACCATGAGTGACCACGAGTGACCATGAGTGACCATGAGTGACCACCAGTGACCACCAGTGACCATGAGTGAACATGAGTGATGGTAAGTGACCACCAGTGACCATGAGTGACCACCAGTGACCAGGAGTGGCCACCAGTGACCACCAGTGACCACGAGTGACCACGAGTGACCACGAGTGACCACGAGTGACCACCAGTGACCACCAGTGACCATGAGTGAACATGAGTGATGGTAAGTGACCACCAGTGACCACCAGTGACCACCAGTGACCATGAATGACCACAAGTGACCAGGAGTGGCCACCAGTGACCACCAGTGACCATGAGTGAACATGAGTGATGGTAAGTGACCACGAGTGACCACGAGTGACCACGAGTGACCACCAGTGAGCACCAGTGACCACGAGTGACCATGAATGACCAGGGGTGATGGTAAGTGACCACCAGTGACCATGAATGACCACAAGTGCCCAGGAGTGGCCACCAGTGACCACCAGTGACCACGAGTGATAGTCAGTGACCACCAGTGACCACCAGTGACCAGGAGTGACCACCAGTGACCACCAGTGACCATGAGTGAACATGAGTGATGATAAGTGACCACCAGTGACCATGAATGACCACAAGTGACCAGGAGTGGCCACCAGTGACCACCAGTGACCAGGAGTGATGGTGAGTGACCACCAGTGACCATGAGTGACCATGAGTGACCACCAGTGAGCACCAGTGACCACAAGTGACCATGAATGACCAGGGGTGATGGTGAATGACCATGAGTGACCATGAGTGACCATGAGTGACCACCAGTGACCATGAGTGATGGTGAGTGACCACGAGTGACCATGAGTGGCCACCAGTGACCACCAGTGACCATGAATGACCACCAGTGACCGGTGAGTGACCTCTGCCCCCATTAATGGCTCCATTAATGACCCAATGGCCCCGTTAATGACCCCATTAATTATCTCATTAATTAACTATCTCATTAATTATATTGTTAATTAATTATCTTGTTCATTAATTAACTGGTTAATTATTCT